GTCCAAAAAGCCAATGAGGAGAAAAATGCCCTAAAAACAAAAATTGGCCAAATGGAAAAGGAAGTCCAAAAGCTTACTGAAGAAAATGCTTCCTTAAAAATTAGGATAGAGCAATTGGAAGCTAGTGACTTTATGAGAAATCAAGACACTGTAAAACAAATCCAAAAGAATGAAAAATTAGAAAACAATGTGAAATATCTCATTGGAAAAACAACTGACCTGGAAAATAGATCCAGGAGAGAGAATTTAAAATTATTGGACTATCTGAAAGCCATGATCAAAAAAAGAGCCTAGATATCATCTTTCAAGAAATTATCAAGGAAAATTGCCCTGATATATTAGAACCAGAGGGCAAAATAGAAATTGAAAGAATCCACACCTGAAAGAGGAAAACTCCTAGGAATATTATAGCCAAATTCCAGAGTTCCCAGGTCAAGGAGAAAATATTATAAGCAGCCAGAAAGAAACAATTTAAGTATTGTGGAAACACAATCAGGATAACACAAGATTTAGCAGCTTCTACATTAAAGGACCGCAGGGCATGGAATATAATATTCCGAGGGCAAAGGAGATAGGATTACAACCAAGAATCACCTACCCAGAAAAACTGAGTATAATCCTTCAGGGGAAAAAATGGTCATTCAGTGAAATAGAGGACTTTCAAGCATTCCTGCTGAAAAGACCAGAGCTGAATAGAAAATTTGACTTTCAAATACAGGAAGAGATAAACAGAAAAAGAAATGATAAGAGACTTATTAAGATTGAACTGTTTACATTCCTGCATGGAAAGATGATATTTATAACTCATGAGACCTTTGTTAGTATTAGGATAGTTGAAGGAAAATAATATAGATAGATAGAGGGCATAGGGTGAGTTGAAGATTAAGGGGTCATATCTGGAGAATAAAATTAAGGGATGAGAGAGGATGATACTCGGAGAAGAAGAAAGGGAGAGGTAGAATGGGTAAATTATCTCACAAAAAAAAAACAGAAAAGTCTCTTACAGTGGAGGGGAAGCAGGGGAAGGTGAGAGGGAATGAGTGAATCTTATTCTCATAGGATTTGGCTTAAGGAGGGAATAACATACACATTCAATTGGGTATGGAAATCTGTCTTACCCTACAGGAAAATAGGGGGAGAAGGGGACAAGAGAGCAGGGGGATGATAGAGAGGAGGGCAGATTGGGAAAGGGGTAATCAGAAGGAAATACTTCTGAGGAGGGACAGGGTCAAAAGAAAGAATAGAATAAATGGGAGGGCAGGATAGGATTAAGGGAAATAGAGTTAGTTTTTCACAACATGTCTACTATGGAAGTGTTTTGCATAACTGCACATGTATAACCTATATTGAGTTGTTTGCCTTTTCAATGAGGGTGGGTGGGGAGGGAGGAAGAGAGAAAATTTGAAACCTAAAGTTTTAAAAACATATGTTAAAAAAAATGTTTTCACATGCTACTGGGAAATAAGAAATACAGGAGATGGGGTATAGAAGTCTATCCTGCCTACAGGAAAATAGAAGGGGAAGGGGATAAGAGAAGGGGGGAGAGATAGAAGAGAGGACAGACTAGGGGAAGGGATATTCAGAATGCATGCCATCTTGGGGTGGGGGGAGGGGTGAGATGGGGTGAAAATTTGGAACTCAAAAACTTGTGGAAGTGAATGTTGAAAACTAAAAATAAATAAATTTTTATTTTTTTAAAAAAAGAATAATGTCACCTATTTAAAGGGTTCTAATTTGAGGTAGCATTTTTAGTCTCAATTTTATGCGTTACAAAAACATTGAAATGGTCAATCTTTTATGAACAGAAAATTTGATAAATGTTCACTTTCATAAACAAATTAATGTGCTATAATTAAATCATCTAACTTTTGTAATATTCAAAATTCAGATGACTGAATTTGTCGTTTAAAATGAGAATTCTATGATTATTTGGAATCTTTTTTTGTGTTAAGCTTTTTAAATATGGGGAAAAATTAAAACTTGGTAATTTATTTCACCAGTAGTTTGTGCCTTTGAGAACTGCTTTATTTAGATCTTATAGGAAACCTTTGAAAATGCCTGTAAAAGGGGGCAGCTAGGTGGCACAGTGGATAGAGCACCAACCCTGGAGTCAGGAGCACCTGCATTCAAAATCCGGCCTCAGACACATAACACTTACTAGCTGTGTGACTCTGGGCAAGTCACTTAGCCCCAGTTGCCTAACCAAAAAAAAAAAGAAAGAAAGAAAGAAAATGCCTATAAAGTAGTTGTTATATGTGTAGCAAGCCTGTGGCAGATGTGTTATTTAAAACTAATGGTTAGATGTTGTGGGCTTCCCTTCCTCAGAGGGTTTTTTTTAGTTGTTTGTCACTCTGCAATGTTGTGTTCAAGTTCTTTTGTAAAACTAATGGCTCCCCTCTAATTTGATAGTAATAAGTAATAATAAATTCACCTAGAATTCATTTCTAGAATAGGAAGAAGAAACATTGAGCCTGGTTTTCATGTTTTATCTTTTGCAAGGTTAAAAACATACCCTCCAAGGTCATGTAGGGAAAGAAATTTTTTACTCCAGAATCTTTACTCCAGAATGCTTTGATAGATCATAGATTGGGTGGGGAAAAGGGGGAGGAGGGGCAGGACGGAGTGGGGAGGATGGGGATAGAGGCCAGAGATTCATTCTAGTGATGCAGATCAGAGCCTATCCACACCTGCCTGTACTGTGTGACTCTTGTCTATGGCCTCCCATAAATTCTTTGCGAGGAGCCTTCCTCCCGATCTGTCTGTATTTTGTGAATACCAATAACTTGATCATAACCTCTTTCTTACCACCTAGCTAGTCCACCGGTTTTTTTAGTCATACTTTTCTCCCATAACATTGTTTATACCTTTTCCACTTTGTCATTCCTTTTTTACAATGTTTGTAGCTGACTCATGCCCACCATATAGTATTCTATGCCACATAACCACACAACATCATGGGAAGAATCCTGGCATTAAAGAGATGGGCCTTTGCTTCAGGAAAATGCTTGAGGTAGTTAAAATAACTTTAGTTTCCAAAGGTAACTCAGTCAGCTGTCTCCTAATTGTTAAATTCTAGGCTCAGCTCATCTTCTATGTACAGGCCTTGTACTTCTTTCTTTCTCCCCTTGCCCCCCTTCAGTCTTTCATGTTTGTGTGTGTGTGTGTGTGTGTGTGTGTGTGTAGCTTCAGAGAATAGGGAAAATAAAAATTTCCCAAAATATAAACTTACCAAGGGCTTTATCTCCACAGCATTATACTCCTAATCCAAGAGATATAGAATTAAGAATATTCCCTTTCAAAGTCACTTGTTCTCTACAGAATAACAGAGATACTTTGACAATAGCCCTTGTAGCAAAAGCACTGGAAAAATAGGTAAATTTTTTTATTTTTTAGAATACTGAGCACTAAAGAATATGCAGTAAAAGGTAAAATTCTCCACCAAATGCACCCCTAGTTCTCTTCTTCAGAGTACTTTTCAGTGCTTTTTATTTTTCTCTTCCCAGAAATCCCACAGTGACTGTGGGACATTTGAAATGTAGACATGGGTCATCCTTGCAGGTGTTTGTATGATCAGAATATTTTATGGTATCCTGTGAGGAAAAAAAATTGTAAGTTGATTGTATTTGTTGATAATAACCACACCTTTGATTTAAATAACATCTTAAGAAACTAAAACTATTCCATAAATATTGCCTAATCACTTTGCATATGTTGCCAATAACAAATAATTGAACCTTGTTTTGCTGTGGCATATCCTTAGCTATCTTAAAGAGTATTAAAATTCTCCAAAACAAAACAAACCACTTTTTTTTCATTTAAAATTATTTTTTCTATAACACTTTGGGTATATGTGATTCCGTATCAAGAAATCAAACACCGACTAGGGGTTCATAACTGAAAACAAGGGAGTGAAAAATCAGTCATCTTTACACAAGACTGTTGCTTCTAGACATAACACATTTCTACAAGATGAAGGACAATTCCAGATAACCTTAGTGTGTGTATATATGTGTGTGTGTGTGTGTGTGTGTGTGTGTGTGTGTGTGTGTGTTTTCCCATTGGAATGCTGACATTTTTAATTAACAAGATGAAAATTTTTTTGGAATCCACCCAACTTTTTGATCTGGTTTTAAATTTTAAAATGATCACTAATCCAAATTAACATATCCAATTTTTTTTTATTACCTACTCATCAATTCCTTTTGAAACAGTTGAATGTCCTTCCCCATTATCTCCAAAGTTACTCTGAAATTCAAGTAAGCATAGCAGTGGTTGTACAGAATGGTCAGATAAGAGAGAGAAAAATGTAGATAATTCACAGATAACTTAGTATATACTTTTTTTCCAGATACTCATTATACTTCTATTACATAGGCAACCTCTTTCCCTTAGGGATATTTCACTTAAGGGTCATTCTTTTTGACTGATATGTTTCCCATTCTTAGAATATAGTGGGTGGACTAAAGATTCAAATCAAAGAGGATTTTTTTTTCCCATTTGCTAATGGTTAATTATTAACATCAAAATCTAAAGACATTTTCTGACTGAAGCAACACATTTCATTCACTTAAGTGCCTATAATAGCTCTATTTTAATTTTTAAAAAGTACCTGATTGCCTTCATGTCTCTTATAAGTGATTTGAACAAAAGGTGTTTTGGTATTTAGTTAAATCACTAACCTTCACTGATTTTTTTCCCCCTTCTTCTTTTAATAGAAATAGTGATAGCCCCAATTAATACCAGTATGTAGAAATTCCTAGGGGTTTGCCTAAATTTTATTTCCTTAAACTTATATACATATATTATAGTTCATTTTCTGATTGTCAGTTTGCATTCTAAATCAAAATTTTAAAAAAGATGATTAAGAAAGAAACTACATCAACAACATTATGGTGCCTATTATTCTGGTGAATGTGAACAATGCTACAAGTGGTGCGTAACATTCTTTTTAAACAATCTTCCTAATTAATGTCAACGTTTCTTTCTTTTTCTTTTTAAAGATTGGAATCATCCTCTTTGGGACAGTTTGCACTGCAAAATCAAATTCACATAAAGATTTGGTATTGTTGAAAAACAACGGTAGAAGAGCAATGTCATCTAATGAGCAAGAGAAGCTTTTATCTTACAATGGGGAAGTCCTTATTTTTCAGCTGTCACAAGAAGAGTTGGCAAAAGAAGGGACAGCAAAAACATCCAAATTGCATGTGAGAAGAATGACATTTAATAGAAGCACAAGAGCATTTATTCAGAAGTCCACTGGTATATTTAGCATGCATGGAAAACCCTCAAGTTTTGAAATGATTTGTTGCAGCTGTGCAGCAGACTTCAGAACAGGGATTAATCTCCCTTGTGTTTTGATAAGAAACCAAAAGAAAAGTGTTTTCAAATATTTTTTATTGTTACTTCACAGTTCTAATGAATTTGAACAGCGAATGAATTTTACATTACACTATGAGATGAAGGATGACATAATGATACTTAATGGCCCGTCAATCTTGTGGAGACACAGCAGAATGTCCTTTTATATTTCTTCCCAAAATGACACAATTATCAGTGCTCCAGTTAAATTTTCTTCCATCAAGTGGGCAGGGGAGGTTGAAAATCTAGGTACTATTTTATTTGGAGTAGGAGAACCTCTTTCCACTAAGACAGAAAGTAGCCCAGGGTCTTCAAAGTCAGATTATGCCGTTTGGGGTACTGAATTTTATGCATATTGTATTGAAGATCAAAAAATATTAAGTGGTGCATATTTTTTGCCTCATGCTTATGGAAGTGTGGTAACTTGTATACATATTTGTGCAACTAAAGAAGTAAATACTGAGTTAAGAACTTCGCTAATCGCTCTGACTGAAAAGAATCAACTTATTTGGTTTCAAGATGGTGTCCCTAAAAGTCTATGCCAGCTTCCATTTCAGGATCCCTGTGCATTACAAGTTATGGCTTCAGATGGTGGAGACTTACTCTGTATTGTATCATTTAGGTCTGGTGATGTTTGTGCCATCTGGAAAAAAAGCTTTCAGGTATAATAACTGTTCTCATAAAATTTCAATTGTTTTGTTCATAGTTTTGGATTTTTAAAAAATGTTCCTTCTGTCTATAGAGTATATCTTGGTGTATTTTCAATGAAGGGCTTGCCTCTTCGGAGGAAAAACTCAGGCATCAGTTTTATCTACTTTGTTATATGGCTTTCATATTTTATTTAAATGCTACCTGATAATTTATTTTACTGCTTAGATTTGTTTTATAGGTCAAAACCCTTTTTAAAAAAGGATAGCTAGTTGACATTGAATTTAGGCAGTATTTCTAAATTATTTGTAAGATGGATTTTATTTTATCTGATTTATTATTATTTTATTTTTATAATATACTATGATAATATATTTATTTACAACATATTATATTTTATTATTATTTATAAGATGATGGATTTTTTTATTTATAAGAAAATATCATATGGATTTACCTATTATAGAAACTATGTTATAGAACCAAAGTAAATCAGATGTCCAGCTCAAAATTAATGATCAGCTTACGTGGAATTATTTATTTATTTTGCTATGCTCTCTGAATGTAAGGCACTTTATGGAAACCTAAAGAAATTTATTGTGCAATCTGTTATTTATGGTGACAGTTGGTTAGTGTTAAATATTTTTCAAAAACTTTACTAGGAGCATTTTCACTATTTAGTTTAGAAAATGATGGTCAATATTTGTATGCCTACTTAATGGTGATCTGCATATCTTCCTGTTTTTTAACATAAGACTTGGATATTTGTTAAAAATAGTCTGTCCTCAGAAGTTAAATGGCTGTATAGATATATAGAGAGATAGAACTGTGTGTTTGGGTATCTCCTTTGTATTTAAGTATGTATCAGTTTCCCATATTTCAGCACATCTAATATGCAGCTTTGTTTAAAAAAAAAGAAAAAAAAAGAAAAAAAAGAACAGCCAGTAGGAGTAGCAGCAGCAAGAGGAAAAAAAAGAGGATTTTACACTTTGGATTTTGTATCAGGCACTTAAATTGCTGGAGAGACATGCCATTCTGAACCAAAGGTGTGAAAAATGGGTTAAAAACATTATGAAATTAAGTCTAATAAATGGAATTTCAGCAGCAAAGTGGAGGCATAGATTCAGCCTCTACCCATCCAAATACACTGAGACACATTTTCTAAAATGCCCAAGACAACAGCAGCAGCAGCAACGGCAGGAACTGTAGTGTCTGTTTTCCTTATGTCCTCTCCAGTATCCTGATGGCCTCTTTCTAAAGAGCTCTAGGAGTGGCATCCTCACTATCTCCTCAGGCAGCCTTTTGCACAGCTCTAATAAGGATTTTGTTTTCATATAGAGCCAAAATCTGTCTGTGCAATATCTACACGTTATTCCTAATTCTGTTTTCTAGGACTAAGAAAAACATATATAATGCTTATATATAATCCTTCTTTATGACAGCCTTTCAAATATTTGAAGACAGTTATTGTGCCATTCCCACTTGCCCTTGCCAAGACTTATCTTCTCCAAGCTAAAAATCCTTAATTCTTTCAACTACTTCTCATATGACATGGTTTTGAGTCTCCTTACCATTCTGGTTACCTTTGGGTGAACTTTAGTTTGTCAGTGTTTATCATAAAAAGTGAGCTCCAGAAGTATAAAAACTATTCTATACTGATCATATGGCATCTGGTCAGTATGGAATCGTCACCTCCCTCATTCTGGACACTTTGCCTCTATTAACACACCCGAAGGCCCTCTCGGTTTTGGGTGCTATCAGTGTTCTCTAGCCATATGTTTTCTTTTACTTGGTTCACTGAATTCTCTTTACAGGTTGCATCCAAGTGGCAAAAAATTAAATCAGTCCTGGTAGATGACTTTATTGGCAGTGGAACTGAACAATTGTTGCTAGTTTTTAAGGATACATTCGGTACAAATTGTCTGACTTCATTCAAGATAACAGATCTTGGTAATGTGAACTATTCGGTAAGTTCTTTCTATTTATTGAAGTTTTTAAATTTTTTGTGTTCATGTTCTTTCTACTCACATTTTAAAATATTGATAGTTTAATAGTGAGAGGGGAAAAAAGCTTAAAAATGTTTATTTTTATTTACTATATTATATTAATTATATTATTTATAAATATATTTATATAATATAATGTAATAAATAAAAGTGTAGTAAATATAATGTAATATAAATATTATATTATATTTATATATATTTGGAGCAGATATTATTTAATGCCCTCTGTTGACTCTCATTGTGATACATTATAAAAAATTAATCTTATGTGAAATAAGAGAACTACTGTGGGCACCCAAATAAAAGTAAAATTTATTCATTAACAGTGTTATCCTACTGTAGTGATGTAATTATATAGGCATTTGTCCTTCTTTGGCTTAGATATAATCGATAACATTTTGATACCTTATTGGTAATTGAAGTAATTGTCATAAAGGTTCATGGTTGGGGAGGTGGAGCCAAGATGGTGGAATAAAGGCAGGGACTCACCTGAGCTCTCTCCCAAACCTCCCTTCAAATACCTTTAAAAATGACTCTGAACAAATTCCAAAGCAGCAGAACCCACAAAAAGATGAAGTGAAATAAATTTCCGGCCCAAGACAGCTTGGAAGGTCAGCAGGAAAGGTCTGTCACACCTGGGTGAGAGTGGAGCACAGTCCAGTGCAAGCTGTTCCAGCAACAGTCCCAGCTCCAGCCAACCAGGAGCAGGCCTTGAGAGTGACTGAATCGCAGCAGCAGCAACTGCTTCTGGAGTTCTCAGCCCACAGATGGTAAGGGGATTGAGCAGACAATCAAAAGGAGATTACAAGGTTCTTTTCTGCTAGCTCTGAGGCAGACTCTGTTGTTTTGCCCATACATGTATCTGAGACACAGTCCTAGGTGGCAGCCCCTGGGTGAGAAAGTACTAGCATAGTAGAGTTTGTGGCCACATCCCCCTCACAGTTCCAGGGCAGAAAAGAGTGCTTGTGGTCTCTCACAAACCAGAGCACAGGCCGGGAGAGTAGTAAACACCTGTCCTTAGATCATATCACCTTGGAAGAACTGAAAACTTATAGGTCCCTAAAGGTGTCTCTGAAAACAGCTGGATAAAACCCTTGAAGCTTGGGACAGTTTGCCCTCTACCTTGGAAGCAGAGCCCTGTTTTACCAAAGAGTTAAAAGTGAAGTAAGAGGCTGGGAAAATGAGCAGTCAACAGAAAAAAATTCTGACCATAGAAGGTTACTATAGTGACAGGGAAGATCAAAATATGCACTCAGTAGAAGATAACAAATTCAAAGCTCCTATACCCAAAGCCTCCAAGAAAAATATGAATTGGTCTCAGGCCATGGAAGACCTCAAAAAGGATTTTGAAAATCAAGTAAGTGAGGTAGAGGAAAAATTGTTAAGAGAAATGAGAGTGATGCAAGAAAATCATGCAAAATAAGTCAGCAGCTTGGTAAAGGAGACCCCCCCAAAATACTGAAGAAGCAGACTAGGCCAAATGATAAAAGAGGTCCAAAAAGCCAATGAGGAGAAGAATGCCTTAAAAAGCAGAATTGGACAAATAGAAAAGGAAGTACAAAAGCTCATTGAAGAAAATAATTCCTTAAAAATTAGAATGAAGCAAATGGAAGCCAATGACTATATGAGAAATTAAGAAACAATAAAACAAAACCGAAAGAATGAAAAAATAGAAGACTGTGAAATATCTCCTTGGAAAAACAACTGACCTAGAAAATAGATCCAGGAAAGATCATTTAAAAATTATTGGAATACCTGAAAGCTATGATCAAAAAAAAGAGTTAGACATCGTCTTTCAAGAAATTATCAAGGAAAACTGCCCTGATATTCTAGAACCAGAAGGTTAAATAGAAATTGAAAGAATCCACTGATCACCTCCTGAAAGAGATCCCAAAATGAAAACTCTCAGGGATATGATAGCTCGAGTGTTCCCAGGTCAAGGAGAAAATACTGCAAGCAGCCAAAAAAGAAGCAATTCAAGTATCATGGATCCAGAGCTGGGATAACACAGGATTTAGCAGCCTCTGCATTAAAGGACCAGAGGGCTTGGAATATGATATTCCAGAGGACAGAGGAGCTGGGATTACAACCACGAATCACCTACCTAGCAAAACTGAGTATAATACATGAGGAGAAAAAGGTGGACATTCAAAGAGATAGACATCAAGCAGTATTGGTGAAAATACCAGAGCTAAATAGAAAATTTGACTTTCAAACACAAGACTCAAGAGAAGCAGAAACGGTAAACAGGAAGGAAAATCATAAGGGACTTAATAAGTTCAAACTGTTTACACTCCTACATGGAAAGCTGATATTTGTAACTCATAAGACCTTTCTCATTATCAGGGTAGTTAGGAGTGGTATATATAGACAGAGGGCACAAATATGAGTTGAATATGAAGGGGTAACATTTAAAAAATAAAATTAAGGGGTGAGAGAGGAATGCAGTGGGAGAAAGAAAGGGAGTGTTAAATTGGCATAAATTATCTCAGAGGCAATAAAAAGCTTTAACAGTGGAGAGATAGGAGGGGGAATGAGTGAACCTTACTCATCAGAATTGGCTCAAAGAGGGAGTAACACACACACACAATTGGATATAGAAATCTACTTTACCCTACAGGAAAGTAGGAGGGGAATGGGATAAGAGAAATGGATGGGGGAGTAATAGAAGGGAGGGCAGGTTGGGAGAGGAGTAATCAGAAGCAAAACTTTTGAGGAGGGACAAGGTAAAAGGAGAGAGAGAATAGAATAAAGAGGGGTGAAATAGGATGGAAGGAAATAGCAATAGTAACTGAAAATAATTTTGAAGCAAGTTTCTCTGATAAAGGCCTGATTTCTCAAATATATGGAGAACTGAGTCAAATTGATAAAAATAAAACCCATTCCCCCAATTGATAAATGATCAAAAGATATGAACAGTTTTCAAATGAAGTAATTAGAGCTATCTGTAGCCATATGAAAAAATACTCTCACTATTGATTGGAGAGATGCAAATTAGAGCAATTCTGAGGAACTACCTCATACTTATTAGATTGGCTAATAGGACAGAAAAGGAAAATGACAAATGTTGGAGGGGATGTGGGAAAAATGAGACATTAATGCACTGTTGGTGGAGTTGTGAACTGATTCAACCATTCTGTAGAGCAATTTGGAACTATGCCCAAATGTCTGTAAAACCATGTCTTTGACCTCACAATACCACTACAAGGTCTATATCCTGAAAAGGAAAAGGACCCATAGTACAAAAATATTTATAGAGGCTCTTTTTTGGGGGCAAAGAATTAGAAATCGAGAGGATGCTCATCAATTGAGGAATAGCCAGACAAGTTGTAGTATGTGATTATGATAGAATACTATTGTACTATAAGAAATGATGAGCAGCATGCTCTCAGAAAAACCTGGAGAGACTTTCATGGGCTGATGCAAAGTAAAATGTGCTGTGTACAAAGCTACAGCAATATTGTAAGATGATCAGCTGTGAATGACTTAGCTATTCTCAGCAGTACAAAGACTACTCTGAAGAACTTATGATGAAAAATTCTATCTATCCCCATAGGAAGAATTGATGGTATCTGAATAGATTGAAGCATACATTTTTTTTACACTTTATTTTTCTTGAGGGTTTTTTTTTTGTCTATGTTTTCTTTCACTATATGATTATTATGGATATGTTTTGCATGACTCCTATAACCTATATTCAGTTGCTTGCCTTCTCAGTGACAGATTGGGGAGGGAAGAGAGGGAATATTTTGGAAGTTGAAATTTGGAATTTTACAAATGGATGTTAAAAATTATCTTTACATGTAACAGGGGAAGAATAAAATACTAACTAAAAGCTAAAAAAAAAGTTCATGGTTATATATCATGATACCAATATTAATCATATTGCTTATTTTCTGGTGACCAGAAGATGGCCAAGAAATTGTAAGATTAACCTTCAGATTGTTCTGTATAATAACATCTAAGTTTTTTTTCATTTTTTCCTCATCCTAAAGTGGGTATAATAATATTTGGACTACTGACTTCACAGGGTTATGAAAATCCAGTTTGTTAACCTATGTAAAGCTCTTTGTACCAGCAAAATACTTTATGTGCAATAATGTAGTTCTTATAATTTCACTCTATTTTCTTATTTAGAATGATGCTTTTGATCCCATGGAAAATGACTTCTTTGAAGACAGCCTGCAAGAGAATTATTCTCTTACAGTACAGGCTCTGGAAAGAAGATTGCAAGTTAGTCTATAAGCTTCCTTTTTTTTGTTTTCCCTTATGTGATTGTCTCCTAGTGTAAATGGAGGTATTGGCAAGGTTGGGTAGGGGAGAAGACAACTGGTGATTTCATAGTGTAAGGGAACTCCCAGTATGGAAAGCACCCCTACTGGTAAGATCTTCCTTTGTCAGCTATTCAGTGATCTGAAGTCTTAGAGAATTTCCTAGGTCACTGACAATGTTGACTAATTTGCCCATGGAGAAACATTAGTATATGTCAGTCAAGATTTGAACTCAGGTCTTACTGACTCTAAAGTAGATCCTCAGAACAAATAAATCATTGTCCTTGGCAAGCCACTTTACCTCCCTGACTGTGTTTCCTCACATATGAAATGAGGATAATGCTACTTACAGTTAATCCCACTTGTAGTTCTAAAGTCATTTTGATAGCTAAACACTCACTTCTTGAGCAATCTTAATTCGGTACCTAAAATTTTACTTAGGTGTAGAATATTGAGACCATTTGTAAGAAGATGAACTAGAGCCAATCATGTGCCATCTGTAAAACTTGTTTAAAATTTTATCTGTATGTCATTTCTAGTACATTGTTAGAATTCATAATTCACATTCTATGATAACTTTGGACTGCTGACCTATGTTATTTTAAGCTATCTTTATAATGTATAAATACTTATTTTTTTTGAAAAGACTTTGTGAAAATTTGATGGTTTTTAAAAATAATTATTTTTAATCTATCCTGGTGGTCCCGATGGTCTCTTAGCAGTTGAGTGATAGAACTTTGATGAGAGTACTGGAGAGTTCTTTTTCATATTTGTGTATTATGAATAGATGTTTATAATATTTTCCCTTGTAAATAAAAAAGCTTAATTGTTAATCTAAAGACTTAATTATAAATCTTGCTTTATCATTTCTATTTTCCTATGGAAAATAGATTTGTGCTACCTTGGGGAAAAGGCTTCATGAATCAGTGGTACAGCAAGAAATTTTGGAATTACACCTGTTCTCTCCTGATTTACTAGTATGAGAGGCGAAAATTCATTTTCTCCTTGTTATTAAGTATTTAAGTAATTTTTAAAAAATTATTGAGTATATTCTTTGTATAAGACTTTGTGCTAGGTAGTGTTGGGAATTCTAAGACCAATAAGATCTTTATCCTCAGCCCTTATTTTCTAGGTCAAGGATTCTTAACTTTTTTTTGTGTCCCTTTTGGCAGCTTATGGATCCCTACATTGAATAGTGTTTTTAAATGGATAAACAATTACACAAAGTAAATAAATTATATTGAAATATAGTTATCAAAATATTTTTAAAAGTTCACAGATAACAGCTCCTGCTGTAGACATCTATAGTCTAATAAAAGAAATAAGATGTAGGCAACCATTTAATACATAGAGTGTGGCAAGTAGCATGAGAGGTATATGGAATGTCAGGAGAGAAGGGGAGGTTGGGGAAAGCTTTGTAGAAGAGATTTTTGATCTGGGTCTTGAATTAGTATTTTAGCAGTGACTTTTTTGGAAAAGAAACAGAAAAAGGTAAGCTGTGAGATATTGATAAGCCATTAAGTTTGGCTGAAGCAGAAAGTCTGGGAAGGGGGAATGATGTTGATGATGCCACTGCTGCTGATGGAAGATAAGGTTAGAACAATAAGCTAGACAGATCGTAGAGGGCCTTGAATGTCAAGCTAAGGGATTTGGATTTTATTACAGACAACAGGAAACTATTTAATAGTTTTGTGCAGGATAGTGACATGATCTAAGCTGTAGTTTAGGAAAATTAACCAATAGTGTGTAAGGTGGTTTGGAATGGGGAAAAACAGGAAGCAGGCAGACTAGTTGGGGAACTGTTGCAGGTAACTAAGTGAAAAATAATAAGGGCCTGAAATAGGGTGGTGGTAGAAATAGAAGAAAAGGGACAGATTTTGATGGTTAGAATAGACAGAAGGTGTCAGTTGGTTGAATCTCACCATGCATCTCCTGCATGACCTTAAACCTCTTCTGGGAAGAGGAAAGCTGCCATACCATTGTACCAGTCTCTTGCCACTGTGGTGAGTGCCATTCCATCATGCCACATCTCCTTCCCTGTGTCCAGCCTTTTGTGGAAGAGAAGAAACACCATTCTATTAAGCACCAGAGTCCTCCCTTTCTGAAGAGGAGGAACACCATTCCATCTAGTTGCCAGCCTAATGTCCTGCTTTCCTGCATGAAGGAGGGAGAATAATACCATTCTGACAGCTCCTAGTATTTGCCCCTTTGATTGAAAGGCCCTAAGAAGACTCTACCTTGAGGCCAAAGTCTGTGGACATTGCAAATCTTTCTAAAAATCTTCCCTAGATTAACAAATTCCCCCCATCATATCCTGCCATCCCAATGATTCTGAACTCTACTTGGTTGTCCAAATCCCATTTCCCTATCCCTCACTGTTTGATCCCTAATTTCTATTCCCTTCACCACCACCACCACCACCACCCTTCTCAATGTCTCACGCCTTCCACTATCCTCTCTGGAATGCCTACTCCATGGCAACAAACTTTCTTTCATCTTAAATCTCTTCCTTTCCCATTCCTTCCATTTTGTGGCTCTCACTGAGACCTGGCTCCCTCCTGATGACACAGCCTCCCTAGCTATCCTTCATAGCATTTGTTACACTTTCATTCGGTACACCAACTCAGTGGTTGAGGTAGGGGAATTGGAATATTCCTTCTTCCTCTTTCCAGGTTCTCCCTTGTCACCCTCCCTCAATAACCTCTCCTCCTCTAAGGTTCAATCTATATCTACCATTAAATCAAAATTCTGGTAGCTACTGTTTACTGACTTCCAGGACACTCCCTTTCTTTCCTCAGTGAGTTCTCACAATCTTTCTCTCCACCAGCTTCTGCCCTTATAAAAGGGAACTTCAGCTTATATATATTGATAACTCTCTCAAACCTCTTAACTTCACAGTTCCTCATCTTAATTTCACATGACCTCCTCGTCCCCCGTGTCTCAGTCACACACAGATGGTATTCCTCTTGATCTTGCCATCCCCACAAGACCCACACTTCCATTTTCATGAACTTTGAAACTTCCTCACTTGTGCACAATCTAGTGTCATTCTACCTCTCCCTCTGCCTTGCAGACCCAAACCATATTCTTCTCCATGTTGTCTCCTCCGATCCTTCAGGCCATCCACCCTGCACTAAATACATTGTCCTCCTTTCTCTGTCCCTGTTAAATTCTACACTGCCCTCTTGAATCCCTTGCCCTTTTATCATCTTACCCTGCTAAAAACTCAGATTTGTATCACTCACACCATCTGCTACCATGACTCCTATTCACATGCTCTTGAGTGAAGGTGGAGAAAATCATGAAACTGCTAATTGGCCACTTTAAATTTGTGTTACCTGTGAGCACACTGCTAACAAAGCAGTCCTTTTGCACATCCCTAATTAACTTACTATCCTATTCTCTGCAACAGCTCTTCCAAATCATTTCACTCCTCAAACCTCCCAGGGCTTTTCCCACCTTCTCAGCTGAGAATCTTGCCCCCTACTTTACTAAAAATGAAAAAAAAATTGAGGCCACTTAGTATCTGGCTTCTGATCCTATCATTCCACCAAAACTGCTCTCTCCAGAGTAACCAATGATCACTTAGTTGCTAAATCCAGTGGCCTTTTCTTAATCCTCATCCTTTTTGACCTCTTCAGCCTTTGCCTCTGTTGCTCACTCTTGTCTCCTTAACACTGTCTTCTCTCTAGATTCTTGTTACACTGGTGTCTCCTAGTTCTCCTTCTACCTATCAGACTGTTCCTTCTCAGTCTCCTTTGCTGGATCATCATCCGAGCCGCCCCTCATTAACCATACATATCCTGCAAGCTCTGTCTTGGGCCTTTTCTCCCTTAATGCAGTTTTACTTGGTGATCTTATCAGCTCTCATGGATTACTATCTCTCTGATGACCTCCAGACATGCATCTCCAGGTGCCTGTTAGACTTATTGAACTGTATGTCCCGTAGACATCTTAAACTCGCCATGTCTGAAAGTGAAATCATCGTATTTCCCCCCAAATCCTCCCCTCTTCCAAACTTTCTTGTCACTGTAGAGATTACTATCATCCTTCCAATCACCAAAGATCGAAACCTAGGTGTCATCCTCCACCTCACTCCCTTTATCCAATCAGTTGTTAAGTCCCGGCTTTTCTACCTTCCTAACATTTCTCAGCTATACCCACTTCTCTTCTCTAATACTGTCCCACTGTGGTGCAGGCCCTCATCACTTCATGCCTGAACTAATAGCTTGCAAGTTCATCTTTCTGCCTCCAGAAGTGTCTCCCCAGCTCTGCTCCATCTTTCATTCAGCTCACTGTCAACATGATCTTCCTAAAGCAGAGGTCTGACTGTGTCACTCCCTTATTCAATTAACCCCAGTGACTTCCTATCACCACCAGGATCAAATATAATATCCTCTTTTTAGAGTTCAATCGTCTTCATAATGTACCCCTCCATACTCTTTCCTTTCCAGTCTTTTTACTGCTTACGCCTTCCCACATACCCTTGGATCCAGGGCCAGTGACCTCCTTACTCTTCCTTACACAAGACACTCCATCTCCTTCACACCCTTTGTACATTTCCATTGACTGTCCCCTGTCGTGCCTGGGATACTCTCCTCTTGGCTTCTCTGGCTTCCTCAGCTAAATCCTATCTTCTACAAGAAGCATTTCCAGATGCCTCTAAATTCTGTGCCTTCCCTCTGTTGATTATTTTCAGTTTATCCTGTATGTAGCTTTTTTGTATGTAGTTATTTTTGTTTGATCTCTTTCCATTAAATTGTGAGCTACTCGAAGCAGAAACTGCCATTTTACCTTTCTTTGTATCCCCAGTGCTTAGCATGGTGTCTGGTACATCTAGATGTTTGACTGACTGCTAGATAGAAAGATTCTTCAAAGATGACTTGAATGATTGGAGAAATAGAGGTGTTTTTTTTTTTAAATATGGAAATGTTTGAAAATTGGTGTAATAGAACTTTTGAACTCTTAGTTTTGACCAAATCCTTCTACCTTCTATTGAAATTATAACTATGGGTAACATCTTTTCTTCAACCTTACAGTTTGGTTTGGCATCTATTCAAGAATTGCAGAAGCATCTCCTACTTAAGGAACGGATTCTTTCAAAATCTTGCAAAGCTTTAGTAGGCCTTGTTCAAGGAAAAGAATATATTCCACCATATGAAGAGAAGGTAAAATTAATCATATGACCATGATAACATTTTACAAGACAGAAAATTGAGGTGTATGAAAGAACTCTAGTACTTAGGTGAATTACTATTTGGGGTGCATATCAGAAAATATTGCTTTATAGATTGAGAACACAATCCATTAAAGAGACAATTGTTGCCTTTTTACTGGTAACTTACCTTATAAGCATTAATGCATTATGATTGCAGATCCTTCAGGAGAGCTATTGTTAGAAATAATCAAATTTACTGGAGAACTGAGGGATCATTCAATTAAGCACTAAAAACACCTTTTAACTATTGTCCATTAAAAAAAGCTTTTAAAAAATATATTCTGTGCTTCCTTGTCTTCTTAAAATTATAAACTAACCAAAATTTATTCTTGATTACTCAGGGACATCATTTTGAACATCAGTTATTGTACTATGTGATAATATAATGATGTCTTCAGGGCCTAAATCCTGTAAGTTCATTTGCCTTTGTGCTAAATGGCCCAAGATTGTCAGGTTTCTTTTTTCTTTATTGTGTCGCCTTTTATTATTTTGATGTCTCATTCTTTGCTATTTGCTGTCATGATGCTATTAGTATCTTGCTTATAAACACCACCTTCCCACTTTCTTTTTTTCCCCATTTCTGTTGTTTCTAAATCTCTTGTGGGCTCATGAACCAAGCATGCATATAAACATCAGATTTTTTTTGCAATGTTGGTTGGTTTGCTAAACCAACCAATTCCTCTTATTCTTTATTTTAAAGGATAGTTCTCAGGGAGGGATATGAGAAAGTAATATATTGGGAACTAGAGGAGAAAACACAGCAGTAACATTTCTTTGGGGGGAAAGAAAGCCAAGCATATTAGGATTGTGTATAAAGAAAGAGTAAAATTTTCTCTGAGTGAGGGACTTTTACTTGGGACAGCTTTAGTATATGGGCTATTTTGACTGCTTTTGGGTCCCTTTTTGTTTACTCTTCTAGATTTTTAATCATAATTTCACAGAGATGAAGTTGCCAACTATTTAAATCCAAATTACTTAAATTGTTGTTGTGTTTTTGTGAACTTCTTTGTTTTGCCAAAATAGTGTAGTCTGTTTTTACTTTCTGCAGTTATAATCTATGTAATTAAATCCAGAAGTCTTAAAAAGGAAAAAAAAATCTGCAATCTGGAAAAATGATTTACTGCCCAGAAAATTTCGGAGATCCTAAAATGAGAGAATGTATGAATTTGGCACCTAGTAGTTTTTAGACTTCAGTTTTCAATTGCTGTAACCTTTGTAACCTTACATTATATCCTTTGGGCCACATCATGATTCTGATGAGAAATTTGAATAGGATAAATAGATGCCTTAAGTCAGTCTCCCCTAGGGCATTTTGTGTAAAGTAGTTTCCTATGTCTAGATCTTTTAAGTAATTTTTCGCAATTACCTCTTTTTGAGTTGGCAGAACTATAATTTCTGAATTATTCTGGCAATTCCTTTAGATCCCAGCCCTTGTAGGTGGGTTGATATTACAAATTCAGCAGAAAGTGAGTTGTGAAGCATGAGAAATCAGTTTGGTCAGACCTTACCGTTCCCTCAAGAGACCGACTTTTCTCTTTTTTTAAATTCTAGTCCAATAAACATTATTATTAATTAAGCATTATTAATTTATCTTCTATTATTTTGAAGGATCTGTGCTAAAGGCTGGGGTTGCAAAGATATGTAAAAACAGTTCCTTCATGGAGTTTTTAGTGTAAGCACTAAAGTATTGTAATGTAATTTAACATATGTACACTTTTACTAATTCTCTAAAGAAAGAAGAGCAGACAATTATCAGACTTTTAAGGCACCATAAAACATAACATCAATATATAAAACTCACTTTAGCCCTAAACTTGTAGGTCCAAGCAACCCCCTGCAAGGCTTGGGAGGCTGAAAGGAAGCTAAGAAAGTAGCCAGGAAAGCCACAGGAACCTTTTAAGGTACTTCTTGGTAGGGAATGTTTTGTTTTTGTCTTTATAGTTACACTGCTTGAGGGCCTTGGCAACTTTCTTCCCACTATGCTGATATGCTGTCCATCTGAGGATAAGTTCTGGTAAAGAACCTGGAAAGAGAAGTTCCTAGAATGTCTGATAATCTGGTCATAGAGCCTTATTGGCCTGCATAAAAATTCTTAAATGCTCTTGTGCTAATTTGAGGATCATTCCTATTTTACTTTAGATAACTTTGTATCTTAGGCCTGATTAGCTTCTAAGATAAATTTTACTTTTAGGAAATTGTTATAATTGATGTTGATATAATGAGAGGCCTAGGCAAGTAGGGAGATGAGTTACATGAATGAGCATATAGTTTAGTGGTAAGTTTCATAAAATAGATTGGTAATTAAAATTTTGAAAAATTAAAATCTGGGTCTCAGCCATCAATATTGGAATATTTTGGTTCTACTTATTATTATTTATGTGAAGAAATCTGTCCCTTTTGAATTTTAATACAGCTTGTATTTATATTAGCTTTCCTGATAGGTAAAAAGTTCATCACACATTCCTATCTTTTCTCCTTTCCCCACCTTACTTCATTTTTGTCACTTTAATAGAGATAACATACTTGACTTATGTGAAAATCTTTAAAGAAATTAAATATTAGACAAAAAACAAATTCTTTTAGACTATAAAACCTAAACAAGCTATACTGAATGTACTAGATCTAAAAAGATGTTTCCTTTTTTTTCCTAAGGATGTTCTTGTTTCTCTCTGTGGTGATAAAAAACACCTTCCCCATTCCTTGAATGAAAAGCTATCAGACACATCTCATGATTCAAAACCTATAGTAGAGAAGATGTGGTATCGTGTTCTGGGTGACCACTTGGTTGTTGGAGCAGAAATCAAGAATTCTTTTATATTGTAAGTTAATTTAAACTCTGATATCATCATGTTAGACTGATTAATATTCTAGGAGTGTGTTTTTTAATACCAAGATTTTTAGATTCATCACATCGTATACATTGGTGATTCCAGTGGAAATTGCTGAGTCAATTTCTCCAAGTCCAGACTAGTGGGGTAATAATGGTATTGCAAAGATAGTCAAATGCTGTCTGGTTAGGACATTCAGGGATATCAGTGGTCTTTAAGATATTAATGACAGGGCAGAAAAGCAAAAGAATTATAAAAATAATAATGTATCTGTGCCCATGAAATAGAGAATTTTCCCTTCTTTTTGTTGTTCCTGTTAGAATAGACAGGGTGAGAGTTGCTAAGCAATTCACAGTGTGGTTAGTGGAACAAGCTAGCAGTCAAGAAACTGAACTAGCAGTCAGGAAGCCTTATGAGCTGTGTCACTTGATCTTTGTTTCCAGTAAAGTTAGGAGACCAAATTATGTGATTTATGAAGGCCTTTCCAGCCCCTGTTTCTGTGATTGCCTGAACTATAAATTCTTGTTAGTTAATGTTTATTTAGTCTGTGTGCATTATACTTACCTGCTTTCATTCTCATCCCCTAGTACTACTAATAGCCTAGCAATAAACTTTTAAAACTGAAAACAGATTCTTCTCTAGTCCAGGCATACGAGTTCCAATATACACCAGATCCTGAGTTTTACACCCTAGTCTGAGCTGAAATCCTGAATACAGAACTTCTGCATCTTCTGTCCTGAGCCTTGAAAACTGAGTTGCTAACATTCCTTTGTAAACTCGAAAGAGAACTCAAAAATGTGCATATCTTAGAACCTCTAGGTTTGAGACTGTGTCCATACTCTTGGGAGAGGGGAGATACTTGTAGTTCTGGGAGTACAGTAGGCAAAAAACTGTTGGTAGATGTTTTGTTATATATTATTTCATCTTTATTATGTAACGTTAATTCAGTTACCCATTCTATGCTAAGAGTAAATGTAGTATTCAAGCAAAAAAAAAAAACCAAGTGAGCCAATTTGTCTCTATCACAGAATGCATGGAGACTAATGTGTAAAAAGTCAAAGGTAGATTGGAGCGAGGTTGTGATGAACTACAAATGTCAAAAAGAGTTTATATTAAGGTGATAGGGAGTCACCAAAGTTTATTGACTAGGGGAATGACATGGTCAGACCTGTGCTTCAAGAATCTTAGTTTTGACAACTGTGTAGAATATGGATATGGATTAGAAAGAATTGAGACCAGTCAGGGAGACTAATGAAGAAACAATTTTAGTAGTCCAGGCAAGAGCCCAAACTAAGGTGGTGGCCATGTAAGTAGAGAGTAGGGAGCAGGCATGAGAGATGTTGTTGAGGTAGAATTGACAAGATTTAATGGCTAATTGGATATGAGAAGGGTGGGATGAAGGATAGTGAAAATTGAAGAATGACTGAAATTGTGAAACTGAGTGAGCCCTCAAAAAAAACAGGGAAGTGAGAATGAGGGGTGATTTGTGTTTCTATTTCATTCTCTTGTTAACATTGTACTTTTCTTTGCAATAAAGTTGAGGAGTAGTTTAGTTTTGTTTTTGTTGTTTTTTTTTAATTGTTTAATGCTCCATTATTGAGTAGAATCATGGTGTTGGTTAGTCTTAGAAAATGATTCATTTATTTAAGGAACTTACTACCGTTCTTAGTTCTTGGAAGAATAAAATATTTTAAGATGTTTCTAGTTGTCTGTTTCAAGAGGAACAGTAGTAACAGGATTCAAAGAACAGTGTTCAAATTTGAAACATTCTGCGGCAGCTAGATGGCTCAGTGGATAGAGCTCTGGCCTTGGAGTCAGGAGGACCTGAGTTCAAATCTGACCTCAGACACTTGACACTTACTAGGTATGTAACCCTGGGCAAGTCACTTAACCTCAATTGCCTCACCGAAAAACAAAAACAAAACAAATTTGAAACATTCTTCAGTAAAGGAAAGGGGGGAAAACCCCAAAATGTCAGAATACATCTTTTCCCAATTCTCCATCATTTTTGTTTGATTTTTAAAAATGCACTTGGATTACAACAAATCTTTGTGGTTTTTACAGACTACTAAATGATGTGACTTTATCATTGTTAATGGATCAAGCCTATACTTCCAACTCTCCACTTATTCAGTGTAAAAACAGTGTGATCAAGTTGGATAAGGTGTCTTTCTCTACAACACTCTCATCTCCATGTGAAACTGAATCAGCAGCAAAAAGAATTAAATTGACCCTTCATAATGAGGAAGGAAAAAACAATTTTAATGAACAGTCATCTGAGACTAACTGCATCCAGGTATTTACAGCTGTTACAACTCTTTCACCACTTTTGGCATTCCATAATTTTTGTTGTATTGTAATGCTGCATGCCAGATGGGGAGAAAACAGTGGCCAATTTGGAGAAAGCTGTACTGTGCCTTGTGGGAGACTTTCTTTAAGTACAGAAGATATTTCCAGTGGAAAATATTCAGTAACCTTACCAGAGAAGAATAAACCTTTGAAAGGTAATTTTTTTATTAGTACATAGTACATCTTTTTTGGTGACTGAAAATTTTAAAAGCTTAATAATTTAGATTTTTGGTTCGTGTCATTTTTTTTTTCTTATAGAACCTATGGAAGATCTCTTTGCACTTCTTGCAGTATTTCACAAATTTTGTTTTCAAATAACATCACCTGATTGTACATTGACTTCAGTGAAAACGTGGCTTCTTGGACACATGGAATGTGAAACAGTCAAAGGATTTCCAGATAGCTTCCTTTGTAAAAGTCTAGGGGCTTTGCATGGGACATTCTTCAACTGGAAACAAAAAACACCCTTTGAAGGAATTTTAACAGTCTATTGCAGGTAAGTTAATATAAAGCTGACATTTATATAGTGCCTTGATATTTACAAAGTATAGTTAATAATAACTAATATTTATATATTACTTTAAAGTTTACAGAGGGCTTTACATAAATTTGATCTTCACAACAACTGTCCGTCAGTGAACATGAATTTATTAAACACTTAATATGTATCAAGCACTGTGAAGCCTAGGGATGTTTAAAACAAACAAAAAATACATTCCTTGTCCTCAGGTAGTTCACATTCTTAGAGGGGATACACCATGAAAACAATTTTGTTTGTAAAAGAAATACTTCAGTGTAAACTAAAGGTAATCGTAGAGGGAAGACATTAACTTTAGGGGAAATGGGAGGAAGGGACCAGGAAAGGCTTCTCCCAGAATAGGAATTTGGCTGTGGAGGTAAGGAGGGAATGTTCTCCAGGCATGGGGGAAAGCCAATAAAAAAGCTTAATTGGCTAGTGTCACTAGATCATTGAGTATATGGAAAGGAATATGTGTGTGTGTGTGTGTGTGTGTGTGTGTATGTGTGTGTGTGTCTTTATATGTATATAGATATGTATGTATGTATATACACACACACACATACACACACACATATATTTGTAATTTCCCCCCAATTATACATTAAAACAATTTTTAAACTTTTTTTAAAAAAGTTTTGAGTTCCAAATTCTATCCTTCCTTCCCTCCCTTCCCCCTCTCTGAGATGGTAAGCAATAAGATATAAGTTATACGTGTGTAATCATGTAAAACATTTCCATATAGTCATTTTGTACAAGGAGACGCAAATAAAAGAAAAAGTGAAAATAGCATGCTTCAATATGTATTCAGACAAGGAGCAGCTAGGGGGTGCAATGGATAGAGCACTGGCCTTGGAGTCGAGAGGACCTGAGTTCAAATTTGATCTCAGGTACATAACACTCACTAGCTGTGTGATTCTGGGCAAGTCACTTGACCCCAATTGCCTCACCAAAAAAAAAAATGTATTTGGACAATATCAGCTCTTTCTCTGGAGGCAGATAGTATGCTTCATTATCAGTCCTTTGGGATTGTCTTCGGTCGTTGTGTTGCTGAGAATAGCCAAACCATTCACAGTTCTTCATTGAACAATATTGCTTTTACTATGTGCAATGTTCTGTTGGTTCTGTTCATTTCACTTTGCATCAGTTCATGTAAGTCTTTCCAGGTACACATCTCATACCATATACCAAGATAAGATCAAAATGAGTACATGATTTACACATGAAAGGTTAGGATACCATAAGCAAATTTGGAGAGCATGGACTGGTTTATGTGTCAGATCTATGGATAAGGGAAGAATTTAGGACCAAAGAAAATATAGAGACCATTACAAAATGTAAAATAGGTGATTTTGATCATATAAAATTAAAAAGATTTTTTTTTTACAAACAAACCTAAAGCAACCAAAATTATAAGGAAAGCAGAAAACTAGGGGGGAAATTTGCAACAAGTATCTATGATACAGGCTTCATTTCACAAATATATAGAGAACTGAGTCAAATTTATAAAAATACAAATCATTCCCCAGTTTATAAATGGTCAAAGGATATGAACAGGCAGTTTTCAGAAGAAGAAACCAGAGCTATAGTCATATGAAAAAATGTTCTAAGTCACTATTGATTAGAGGGAAGTAAAATATAAGGATACTAGAAAGGTAGGAGAGGGTCAGGGTATAAAGGGCTTTAAAATCCAAACAGTGGATTTTCTGTTTGATCCTGTAACAGGGAGGCACTGGAGTTCATTGAATAAAGGGGCTCACACGGTCAGTTCTGTGCTTTAGGAAGATCACTTTGGCTGAGGAATGGAGAACGACCTAGAGTAGAGAGAGACCTGAGGAAGGGAGACCAACCAGCAGTCTACTGCAGTAGTTCAGGCATGAGGTGAGGAGGAGCCCACACCAAGGTGGCAGCTGTATATGAAAGATGTTGCGAAGGTAGAAACAGAAGTTAACAAAACGTCAGATTTGTGGGATGAATTAGTCAATCGATAAACATTTATTAAAAACCAATGAGGGAGGCAGGTAGGTGGCACAGTGGATAGAGTACTGGCCCTGTAGTCAGGAGGACCTGAGTTCAAATCTGGCCTCAGACACTTGACACTTCCTAGCTGTGTGACCCTAGGCAAGTCACTTAACCCCAACTGCCTCACCAAAAAAAAAAACCAAACAATGAGGACTCAAGGATGACACTGAGGTTGCAAGGTAACCAGGAATACCATTGGTGATGCACTTGACATTAATAGGGAAATTAGGAAGAAGGGAGAGCTTGTGGGGAAAGTTAATGAGTTCGTTTTTGTGTATATTGAGTCTGAGATCTCCATGGGACATCCTGTTCAAGATGTCTCTTGGTCTGTAACTCAGGAATGAAACTAAGGCTGATATTGAATTTTAAGATCTATAGATCTTGAAATCATCTATTTAGAGATAATTAAATCCATGGAAGCTGATGAGATAACCATATGAGAGAGTGTAAAGGGAGAAGAGAAGAGGCCTTCGGGCAGAAACATGGAAGATGCTGACAGTTAGTAGAAGTGACTGGAAGGAAGAGCCAACAAAGAAGACTGAGAAGGAGTCATCAGAGAATATGGAGGGGGGCCAAGAGTGGAAACCTGGAAAGGAGATAGTATCCAGAAGAGGGTGATCTGAACAGTGCCAGAAATTGGGATTTGGCAATTAAGAGATCATTGATAATTGTGGAAAGAATGATGAAGTCAGAGCAAGACTGCAGAGGGTTTAGAAGGAAGTAAAAGAAAAGGAAATGGAAGCAGTCAGACACCTTCCAAAGGAATTTAGCCAGTAAAGAGAAGTTTACTAGTTATTGAATAAAGTATTGAAGATACTAGAATCTATATGAAGAAACTAATGAATAAATAATCATCTTATTGGGGAAAAAGAAAATTGGTTGGCCATTTTGCAACTTTAAAAAAATAATGAAAACAAAACTTTGCTTGGCTACCATTATTTTGCTTAAGGAGAGGATCAGAGACAGTTTTGCTTCTCACTCATCATTCATCCCACTTGGAAGTTGATTACCTGTGACTATTGATGGAAGAAGGTTCATTAGTCTTAGGAAAGTTGCTATTGATGAGGGAATATTCCTCCTTTGTAGTAGGCTGCTTGAAATTAAACCTGGCTCTGAGTTGAGGTCCTGTGTATGTTTGGAATATTGTGTAGATTGACACTGTATGTGAACTGATTGACTTTTTGGATTTTTTCTTTCTTTTTTTAAACTTTTGCTTCTAAGAAAGGATGACTAGACAGGGAATGGGAAACAATACATGGCTATTTTGTGGGAACAAAAAGCATGATTTGAAACACATTTTAAAGCAAAACTTTAAAGGAAACATAAAAAGAAATTAAACTTGCCTTCCTTCCACTCCATCCACTGTTGGGGGAATGAGATTTTTCTGTTTTAAATAAAAAGGATGGTACCTCTCATCCCAATCAATGGAAAGGTTGATCTTAAACCTGTTTTTGTTGTCAATTTTTATATACACTTGAAATGGACCAGAGTAATGACAGTAGATATGACCACATGGAAAAAAATGAACCACAATGCCTGACTCTTGTCTACTTGAACATATAAAAATACATTCGTGTGTGTGTGTGTGTGTTATTGCCTATTTCAGATAACATCTGTTGAACTAGTAGGTACTGTTGCACTTTAGAAAGAAGGAAGAAAGGACTCTATATTCTAAGTCCTTAACGTGCTTTTGTTTTTTTAATGTGCCTTAATGTTAACACATGGTCTGTTGTGGTCTGTGCTACTATGCTTTTTCATGAGACAAAGTTTGGGAAAGAAAGTGTTGAGATATTACTTAAGCTGAAAGAGTAAGACATCTCCAGTTTTTAGAAATTAATAGATCAGCTTTAAAAAAAAATAAGACTAATTTAAATATTTTTAAAAAGACATTTATACAAATAAATAATAATACAGAGTAAAATGGGATAGAAGCAGAGCTATAGACAAAATACTTTTCAGAGATGTGAACTTCTTCCAGATTTTATGAACTTATGGCTTATCAAAAAGCATCTACATATAACTAGAAAGACAAATTAGTTAACTTTTTAGCTGATTCAGAATTTAGGAAGTCATTTGTTAGATAATTAATAGCAAAATTCAATTTGATTTTACCCCTGCAGGTCTTATTTGTATTAATTAGCAGCCTACCTCAAGTATATGGTTATAAAATTACTAATTGTGAATTTGTAATGTGTTAGAGATATTGTACAGAAAACGCATCTTAATGATATTTATAGACTAGTTTTTCTTCATTCCAGGAATCAAACAGTTTTGTTCCAGTGCCTTCATAATCTCACCCAAGTTCTCCCTGTGAACTGTGTGATAAAACAACTAAAATCAGGAAGCAAGAAATTCCTTACTAACCAGTTGGCACTGTTTCTAGAAAAGGAAATTGTTACCCTTAAGAATTTTTTTTCTTCAGCTGTATCTGAAGTTGAAAGCAACTTGGCACAAAAGTGTGAAATCAAGAAAAACAGCAGCAGCAGCAGCATGCTAAAGGCTTCCTCATTGGGCACAGAGGAAGCAGTACGGCAAATCAGAGAAGAGCTTCAGCAAGAAAAGGAACAAATCACGTGGGGCATGAACCTAACACTGAGCAGTACTATTTACAGAGAAATTAGTTTGAAAGTAGCAGGGATTCAGCTGAAATCAGACTTAGCTGCTGAGAAATTGAATAATTATTAAGTGTTATAAGCTTAAATGTTTATTTAACTGCCACCATAATTTGGGTTCTGTATGTTTTCATTACATCATTGTGGGTGATCCCTTTGGAAAAATAAAGACAAATTTTTTCATCCAGTTTTTTGATGTTACAAAAAATAGCTTGTCAAAAATCACTTTCTAAATAGTAGAGAGACGTGATGTTAATGTTCGTTTTAAATTTTCACACATATGACATCTAACCTTCACTATTACCCAACTTAAGAATTCCTTAAAACTAATTCTTTGTAGGGAGTGTCTACAGGGAGTGAAGAACTCCTGTAAGTGTCAAATTTACATGGAATGTGATGTCTGTGTTTATAGAACATGATCTACTTAGCAAAGTGACTAAATAAGAACTTTAGAACTAAAGTCTTGAAAGCTGCTGTCAATTTAATGTCAACTGGAAAGTGTCACTAAAAATATGTCAGTCAAATCTTCAAAAAATTAATGTCATTTTCTTCAGATGCATATTATTTTAAATGGTTTGCCCATATAAATCTTAATTTACTTGCAAATTAAGAATGTCTTTAAGTAACTTAGAATTATAACTCTAGGCAGAGCAATGTAGAATTAGAACTAGAATAACTTGAAGTTTATTGAACTCCTTGAGACTTTAAGTAACAGTGAAGATTCCATTGATTGAGAATTGATTTCAAAAGAAGCAATGGAAGAAAACATTCCAAGAGGCAAAAATGTAGTAGTATGGATTAGTGAATGGAGTGCTGAATTGAAATCAGAAAGACCTAGGGAAGTTAGGTGGTGCCCTACCTCCCTGAAGCCAGGAGGATCTGAGTTCAAATCTGGCCTCAAACCAAACACTTGACACTTACTAGCTGACCCTGGGCAAGTCAACCCCAATTGCCTCATTAAAAAGGAAAAAAAAAAGGAAATCAGAAAGACCTGGATTCAAGTTTTGCCCATGTTTAACAGGTCTGTGACTTTAGTCATACTTGGTGACCTTGGTCAAATCACTTAACAACCTTGGGCTTCAGTTTCCTCATCTGTAAAGGAGTCTGAATTCAGTGACTTCTAAAATCTCTTCCAACTTAAAATCTATTATCCTGTGATCCAGTTTGTTGTGGAAAAAATGGCATATGGAGGAATAAAAGAGATAGGAAGAGAGGAGAGAGAGAGAGAAGAAAGGAATTACACAAAACATAGAAGCCACAGGAATGTCTCTCATTTACTTCTTTTGTTTTTTTATTTTTATATGAGGTAATTGGGATTAAGTGACTTGCCCAGAGTCACACAGCTAGTAAGTGTTAGGTGTCTGAGGCCAGATTTGAACTCAGGTTATCCTGACTCCAGAGCCCATGCTTTATCCTCCTGTGCCACTTAGCTGCCCCTCATTTAGTTATTTTTGAGAGAAATAGTTATTAATTGGTGGTTAAAGAAATCAAAGTGGCTGTGAAATCTGTCTTGGAGTTCTGGCATGCAGTTTTCCCCTTAAGCTCCAGGAGCATTTATTCATAATCTAGTGGTGTAGTAATTTTTTGAAACAATTTTTGAGTACATACGGTGTGTAAAGCAGTATGCAGAGTACTGAAGAGGGCAGGGACCCCTGCTCCTGCATAAGTAAGCTTCTTTAGTTTCTTGTTAGAGGCTTTATGACTGTCATCATTGTCCAAAATGTGCCATGTTTCTTTAGGAATCTATAGTGAATTAAGAACTATATAAATCTATATATAAACTAAATAAATATAAAAAATATAAAAAAGTAGGGTTAGCAATCCTGATCTCAGACAAAGCAAAAGCAAAAATAGATATTATCAAAAGAGATGAGGAAACTGCATCCTACTAAAAGGCACCGTTGGCAATGAAGTAATGTCATTACTAAACATATATGCACTAAGTGATATAGCATCCAAATTCTTGGAGGAGAAGTTCAGGGAGTTACAGGAAGACATAGCAAAACTATACTAGTGGGGGACCTCAACCTCCCCCTCTCTGAACTAGATAAATCTAACCACAAAATAAATAAGAAGTTAAAGGAGGTGAATAGAATTTTAGAAAAGTTAGGTATGGTAGACCTCTGGAGAAAACTGATTGGGGATAGAAGGGAATATACTTTTTCTTGGTGGCACATACACAAAAATTGACCATGTACTAGGGCATAAAAACCTCACAATCCAATGCAGAAAGGCAGAAATATTAAATGCATCCTTTTCAGATCATGATGCAATAAAAATTATATGTAATAAAGGGCCATGGAAAGATAGACTAAAAAATAATTGGAAACTAAATAATCTAATCCTAAAAAATGAATGGGTCAAACAAATCATAGAAACAATTATCAAGAGAATGACAATTATTAAACAACATACCAAAACTTATGGGATGCAGCAAAAGCAGTTCTTAGGGGAAGTTTTATATCTCTAAATGCTTACATAAAAAATAGAAAAAGAGGAGATCAATGAATTGGGCATACAACTAAAAAAAAACTAGAAAAAGAAAAAGTTAAACACCAAATTAGAAATATTGAAAACCAAAGGAAAAATTAAGAAAATTGAAATTAAGAAAACTATTGAACTAATAAATAAAACTAAGAGCTGGTTTTATGAAAAAAAACAATAAAATAGATAAACCTTTGGTTAATTTAATTTAAAAAAAAGAAAGAAGAAAACCAAATTACTAGTATCAAGAATGAAAAGTGAATACCACCAAAGAAGAGGAAATTAAAACAATAATTAGGAATTATTTTGCCCAACTATGCCAATAAATTTGACAATCTTAGTGAAATAGATACATATTTACAAAAATATAAATTGCCCAGATTAACAGAAGAGGAAGTAAAATACTTAACCCCATCTCAGAAAAAGAAATTGAACAAGCCATTGATGAACTCCCTAGGAAAAAATCAGGGTCAGATGGGTTTACAAGTGAATTCTATCAAACATTTAAAGAACAATTAATTCCAATACTATATAGACTATTTGGGAAAATAGGTGAAGAAGGAGTCTTACCAAATTCTTTTATGATACAAATATGGTGTGATACCTAAACCAGGAAGAGTCAAAAGAGAAAGAAAATTATAGACCAATTTCTCTAATGAATATAGATGCAAAAATTTTAAACAAAATTAGCAAATAGATTACAGCAACTTATCACAAGAATAATACACTATGACCAGGTAGGATTTATACCAGGAATGCAGGGCTGGTTCAATATTAGGAAAACTATCAGCATATTGAGCATATCAACAAAAACCAACAGAAACCACATGATCATCTCAATAGATGCAGAAAAAGCTTTTGACAAAATACAACACCCATTCCTATTAAAAACACTAGAAAGCATAGGTATAAATGGAGTCTTCCTTAAAATAATAAATAGCATCTATCTAAAACCTTCAGCAAGCATTATATGTAATGGGGACAAGCTAGAAGCATTTCCAATAAGATTGGGGTGAAACAAGGATGTCCATTTATCACCATTGTTGTTCAATGTTGTATTGGAAACATTAGCTTTAGCATTAAGAGAAGAAAAAGAAATTGAAGGTATTACAAACGAGAAACAAAGCTATCACTGTTTGAAGATGACATGATGATATACTTAGAGAATCCTAGAGAATCAAGTAAAAAACTACTTGAAATAATAAACAACTTTAGCAAAGTTGCAGGCTATAAAATAAACCCACATAAATCATCAGCATTTCTATATATTACCAACAAAGCCCAACAGCAAGAGATAGAGAAATTCCATTTAAACTTACTGTAGACATTATAAAATATTTAGGAGTCTACCTCCCAAACAAACCCAGGAACTCTATGAACACAATTACAAAACACTTTTCACACAAATAAAATCAGATCTAAATAATTGGAAAAACATCAGTTGCTCATGGGTAGGCTGAGCTAATATAATAAAAATGACAATCCTACCTAAGCTAATTTACTTATTCAGTGCCATACCAATCAAACTACCAAAAATTATTTTATAGAGTTAGAAAAAATAATAACAAGATTCATTTGGAAGAACAAAAGGTCCAGAATATCAAGGAAGAACTAAGAAATGCAGGGGAAGGTGGCCTAGCAATTCCAGATCTTAAATTGTATTATAAAGCAGCAATCATCAAAACTGCTTGGTACTGGCTAAGAAATAGAGTGGTGGATCAGTGGAATAGGTTAAATATGCAAGACACAAGTAGTCAATGACTATAGTAATCTATTATTTGATAAACCCAAAGACCCCAGCTTCTGGGATAAGAACCACTCTTTGAAAAAACTGCTGGGAAAACTGGAAAAGAGTATGGCAGAAACTAGGCATAGACCAAATCTCACACCATATACCAAAATAAAGTCAAAATGGGTTCATGATTTAGATATAAAGGCTGATACTATAAGCAAACTGGGAGAACAAGGAATAGTTTACCTATCAGATCTATGGAGAACAGAAGAATTCATGACCAAACAGGAGATAGAGAACATTATGAAAAGCAAAATGGATAATTTTGATTACATTAAATTGAAAAGTTTTTGCACAAAGCCAATGCAACTAAGATTAGAAGGAAAGTAGAAAACTGGGAAAGAATTTTTACTTTAAACTATCAGTGTCTCTGATAAGGGCCTCATTTCTAAAATATATAGAGAATTAAGTCAAATTTATATGAGTATAAGTCATTCCCCAGTTGATAAATGTTCAAAGGATATGAACAGGCAGTTTTCAGATGAAGAAATTAAAGCCATCTATACTCATATAAAAAATGTTCTAAATCACTATTGATTAGAGAAATGCAAATCAAAACAACTCTGAGGTACCCCATCACACCTATCAGACTGGCCAACATGACAAAACAGGAAAATGATAAATGTTGGAAAAGATATGGGAAAATTGGAACACTAATACATTGTTGGTGGAGTTGTGAAATGATCCAACCATTTTGGAGAGCAATTTGGAACTATGCCCAAAGGGCTATAAAAATGTGCATACCCGTTGACCCAGCAATAGCACTTCTAGGTCTGTATCCCAAAGAGATCATGCAAATGGAAGAAGGGACCCACATGTACAAAAATATTTATATCATTTCTTTTTGTGGCGACAAAGAATTGGAAATTGAGGGGATGCCCATCAATTGGGGAATGGCTGAACAAGTTGTA